ACTTTTGGAATACTAGGCAGCATAGCAGGTGGAGTTTTTGTCAATTAAATATAGGAAGTGTTTATTGATGGTCTCACTGTACTAGCAAGTGGGAAAGAAAGAGATTTTTTTTGGACATGGGGTGTGTGCTGTACTAAACAAATTATGTGTACTAAGCTGTTTGTTGTCTTTCAACCAAGCCTCCTGTTAAGTGTAGCACTTGCATACCAAAAGTAGCCACTTTCCCCTTTTTACAAGTCTTGCAAGTAACCACAAATGGACTGTTGGCCAGGGGGGTAAGTTCTTTAATTTGTCATAGTTACTAGTGATAAATTATCTTTCCCATAAGGACATGGGGGGGAGGAAGTGAGCATAATTACTTCTGTGCTGTGGTTACAACCCTTAGAGTGAGCTAAGTAGAAAAGAGGACCTGAGGGCTTAGAAACCTCAGAGAAGGTCAGGTGGCAAATGTGATTATGAACCATGCTTTCTCTTTTCATGACACTACTTCCCCTTGACCAGGAAAGCCCAATTCATTTTAGAAATTTTTATTTTTCTCTCTTTTCTGTGAGTGTGGAACAACGTTCCTTTTTTAGAAAGTTTTAAGTTTTATTTTCCTGGCTTAAATTAGAGGTTAGGTTTGCAAAAACAATAAGCTGCTCAGTTTTTACAATAGATATAAATATAGAAATGACTATTCATAAATCTAAATAAGGCTGTAAAATTCAACCTGATTGTAAAAAAGAATGGAAGGGATTTTTTAGTTTATGCATATGGACTTCGTTCGTTCCCTAGTCCATAAAAAAGCTCAGCTGAACCATTATAAAGGATTCAGGTCCATAATTCCATGTTTTTGCAGTAGATAACCTCAGTGTGACACACAATGAAAAGCTCCCTACTTGGCAGTTAGTGGGGATCAGGGTGCTCATGAGGAAGGCCCTAGTACTGATTTACTGACTGTTCGCAGAAGGCGTCATTAATACTTTTAAAAGTTTGGTGATGGCTACTCAATGCATGCCAACAGGCTAAGATGGGTTCACTCAAGTCCGGTACTGGTGACATATCTATATCCACCGCCATTCTGCTGAAGATAACTGGAAAGATAGCTCACTGGCAGTGAACTCTAATGTTAGGGTTTCATATTTCTGCCTGCCTGAGAAGGGGTTCTGTTGCCTTCTGCTATACCCAAAACTTTCTTTTCTCTAGCAAAAATGTGAAATAATGGACTTTATTTCCTTTGACGTAATGTGTCATATGGCATCTTATATGGAGTGGCCTGCCACTTTTCAAATGTATGATTTAGTGCATTGCAATATTTTTTAATGCTTTTAGAATACATCATTGGATATTAGTACATTATGGGTATAGAGTACATTATGGATACTAGTAGTCAGTCTAGAGTTAAAGTTACAAGTTGCTTTTCTTCATTATGAAGTTCCATTTCACTGTTTTGTGCTCTGTCCCTGAAATACTAGTATGCTTTTAAAAACAGTCTGAACTTGCTTGATGAACTGCACCCTGATTATTTCAGTAGCTGCATAACTTGGCTTCACAGACTTCTTCTTCACAGGGTAAGAAGAGTCTTTCAAGGCTGCAGCAAGTCTCACTAAATCCAGCTAAAAAAGAAAGAAAAGAAAACAGATTGAAAGCTGCATATCCAGTTGCATCTGTGTTTAAAAGGATATTACCCCAACAGTTTAAAGATCAGATTGATAAGTTTCTGTCTTCTTTTTTACTGTGATTATTTCATTCCTGTTAAAGCTCTTTTGTGATTCTGTGACTACCCAACCTTGGCAGAAAGCCATCGTGATGATCCTTCACTCCTTGGCAGATAGATGGTGTTGAATTCCTAACAACACAATGGGACGCTTGCACTAAAACTCTTATCCCAGATTTTTGTGTCAACTTAAAAGCACTTACATCCTGAAAGAAGATTGGGTGTGGATAGGGTGCAGACTCCTCTGGGTACTCATTAGGCAGTGGTGGTGTTCACTCTTTACAGGGATGCCTGAATCATGCCTTCTCCTGACCGTATCCTCAACCTAAATCCAACATTGTGCTTCCATATTCAGGCTCCGTCTCTCTTGCAGGCACCCTGATTCTGAGTGTCTTGGATTTTCTAAGGTATGGTGGCACAGTCATAAGAGGCTATATGAAGTTTGATCTATGACCTGGTGGTCTGAACCTCTTTTTTGTGAAAACAAGTGTTGAAGTTGCCTATTTTGAGTGCACTGAGCTCAGGTTGTCCATCTGATGGTGGGTGCCTTATTCCCCTCCTCATTTTTGTAGGAGATGCCTACTTTTGAGACTATATTGCAAGGGAAGGGACTTAACCTGTTGTTGCAGGTCTTTGGCACAGAGATGGTTTAGATGTATGAACATATGGCATACACAAGCACATGATTTGGGGTTACAAGAGATTTTGCATGTAAAGCAATCAATTAAAAATGTGAAGCATGCTGAGCAATCCCTTGACTTCCCTTGTCACATGCTCTTTTCCTGTGAATTTCTTTCCAAGGCATGTGAGGCATGACTGTTTTTCTGCTCTGGGAATCAGTTGCTTCAGAGGCATGATGAGTCCCTCCCTCTATTTTAAATCTTAGAACTGACTATACTGGCACACTATTCCAGCATATACGTTGTCTCATATCCAGAAAATGTGCTTTTCTCTTTCACAGAAATATGTATTATTCTTTTGGAGATATTCTCTGTATATTCCCAATCATACCATGAAAGATTAAAGCAAAGGTCTCTCAGCTGGAAACTCACTAAAACTGGACAATTTCTCTTTGTCTGGAAAGCACCTGATACTTTATGAACATCTCATAAAGATGATTTTATTAATTGTTAATTTACTCCTGCTATAAAATGCTTAAAACATCCGTTCATGTAGATGTGTAGCATCAGCTCTTGGTTACAGGTTAACACCAGGCAATACCTACAGTAATTGGAAATTGTCCTGGAATTGGTTCTTTTACCTTTCACTGCAAAGTTTTCTCCTGGTCTGCAGTGCCCACCCACACATTCGTATACTCATGTGGAGAGCTCAGCTGCAGGAGCTGGGCCAGCAACTGGGGTTTTTTATATGCACATACAAACACACATATGGAGAATAATGAATATTTTGGTGAAGAAATGCTTAACAGTTGAAAATGTGGTTTGAATTACGTAGTTTTCTGTTTCATATGAGTGTGTATCATTCCCATCAGAATGGGCTCTTGTGTAAGCTGGTACATTTGGAGTTTGCAGTTACTGCATTCATTTAGCCAGAAATTCTGTTGTATGGTAAGGGAAAAAGATGCCACAAATCTGCAATTTTCTGAAAAGATTGTGGTGTTGCACTCAAAAGGCCTAAGATGGAGATGGTAAGAATCCCCAACCCATCCCCAAAACTGGATCTCATCAGTACTGCTGAAACAATTTGGCAGCAAACTCCTTTTTTTCAGGTTACTTTCCAGCCTTCTGGCAGCTGTGTACACTGCTCATCAAAACCATGAAACAGACTAGTAACTCATTGGCAAGGTTTTAAATCATTTACATGTGTAACTTTCAGTGTTTGAAAGGTAATGTTATAGACATGTCATTAGCCTAGGTGATAACATAATCCATAATGCTCAGTATTTCTCATTACTGTAAGTTTTTTTCTATAAGTTTTATGTGGCATTTTTGCTAAGCTTTAACAGTTTGAACTGCAATTTTCCATTTTGGATATCTGTCTCAAGCAGACCTGGAGGTGGGGAAATGCGCTAAAACTTCTTTGATGAAGACTAAACAATTATATCCTCTCTTTTCTTAAAGAAATCTTCTTACTGTGCAGAAATTATTTGATATTTAATAGGAGGCTACCTTCATGTTGAGTATTCTGCTGCTTATCTAGGGAGGGTAAAAAAACCCCAACTTGGCTAAGATATAAGACCTTTAAGAGTGCTATGAACATGGAGTCTGAGTCAAGAGCAGAGACTTGCAAAATCTGAATGATAATATTTCATATATTCACAACACAGTTCACTAGGCTTTGAATTACTACACTGTATGAAGTACAATGATGAGAACACCAGCCCTGAGAGTTAACTGGTGCTTACAGTGTTGGTATGGTTGTACCTTGTCATCACCTCTGGAAGGTGGGAAGAATTCCACTGTAGGGTATGGATACAAATTAGTTTTCATGAGCCACTTATGTTCTAGTAATAGTATTACTTTTAGTTCTATTTCTCTTTTCAAGTAATAGTATTTTATCCTGTTATTGAAAAAAAAAATGTAAATAATCTTACCCTGCAGGAAATATGCCCAAGGCAGTACATAGAGCAGCAAGAAAAAGGCAAAATGTTGAATAAATGTTTTGTAAAGGAATTCTGTTCACCCATGGCTGGTCTGGTGAGAAGCCTGTGGAAAATAGTCAGAGGACATAATGCAATGCAGTATCATATATACATATATATATGTGTGTGTGTGTGTAGAAAAACAGGGAAAAGCAAATCAAGACCAACTTTTCAACCATTTTTGCCTATGTCTATTTACTGCAAAAATATCGAAAATAGAATATGTATTTTTAAGCAATATTAATGTTGTTTACATTTGTCTCTAAAATTACTGTGTTAAACTTGTATCAACAGTCAACTGCAGATTTATTTTGTTGTGAAAATAAAACATGAGCCAATTGTGCAACTTCTGGTAGGGTTTGAATTTGAATTTGAATTTCCATTAATTGCCAACTAATTCTAGGACAGATGCTCTGATAATAGTGAATTGAATGCTTCATTAACTAAAGGACACACGTGTGCCCTTAGGAGACAAGCAGTATTCAAAACATTCCCACTGCTTTACCTCGTCATGCCTGTATGCTGGCTGTCAACATTCATTAGCAATCTGCGTTAGAAACAGGGCTCTGCTTTGGCTGTAAGAGATCTGAGCTGCTATTCCTATGGTTTCTCTTCTGCTCAGGAAGCATTCCAAGCCTAAATTTAGCATGCTCTTTTTTTTTTTTTTAATCTCATTTTAGTGTAACATTCAAACTGCTAACACTAACCAAGAGCATGTCTGATTTTAGAGCTGTATGTTTGTACTGGAAGAAAGCTTCTCTTACTCTTTGCATTACTGATCTCTGTTTTTCTCTTGGGGCTGGAACACAAAATTCGTGACATGGTAAGTCTTGGGAACACCTGAGTCCTTTCTATTTTTGAGAAAGAAACATTTTTAGATCAAAAAGTGTTTGTTTTATTTACACTGCTAATAACTCATGTAGAAATTTTAGTTTTATCTTGTAGTTTCAATTTAAATTAATAGACATTTCTTAACATTGGTTTGAACTTTTGAGGGAGTTATTTTTAGTGAGTAAAATAAATTGTAAAATATTATAATCTTAGATAAAATAGTGCATGTTCTCTTAATAAATATGTATTTTCTTAAGTGGTTTTTCTTGCTTTTCATCGACTGTCTTTCTCTAATGCAGATTGTATTTCATATATTCTCTTAAAAGAGAAATTAAAAGTGAATTTTTATGGATTGCAATCTATAGGATCTGTTTCTTTGTTAACAAGTGAAGGAATTACCCAAATAAATCAGTGATTGATATGAATATCTCCAGTTAAGCAACTGTGCATATTTTGACAAGACCACCAGTTTTCCAGCCAGGTTATCCTTACAACCCTTGATCAGATGACTGCTCCGGTGCTTTTCTTGGCTTAAGAAAATATGGTTGTATGAAAAAAAAAAAACCCAGTAATTCTTTTCTGGGCCTGTTGTGAGTAAGGAAGCATGAATTTTATTGCTTAATTAAATTTGGAATTCTTGACAGTAAGTACCTGGTCTGCTTTGATTTGTATGATAAAATGGAAGGATTCAAAGTGTGCTTCCATCGCTGGTGCATTGCTTGAGCAACCAGTGCTTTTTTTTTTTTTAAAGTCATGGCAAAAATAGCTTGTCTAATCTCATCCCATGAATACAAACAAAATGAATGACATCTTTGTCTGCTCTGCTGCTCATGCTCAGAAATAGGTTTCTGCTGGAATTTCCTGGTTCCTGAATTCAGTTTTAAGTGGAGCTCTTGGTATCAAATGGGTTTATCTTTAAGAGTACCAGGATGTGGTGTGCCCAAAATTAATGAAGGTCTGCCATCAACAGCAGTAGTGTAGATGCCTTGCAAGACAGATGTTCCAGGTTGGTGTGGAATATTTTAAAGGCAGCAGCATGCTGCCAACAAAGTGGATTAGAACATGGAATTGTCCATGAGGTTAATACTTACTGGGGCTTGCAGGGGCTGGCTGGAAAAGGGAGATTTGGGCAGACGCATCTCCAAGAGTCCGGCAAAAGCCTCATGGAATTGGTAAATGGAAGTGTGTAGAACCTTACCTTAGGTGGCAATGCTCAGTGATAAACAAAATTGGCAGTGAAAAATATGGGGATTGGGTGCGGGACGCACTGAGGCAAAGGTGTGAAAGGTTGAGAGCAATTAGAGCAAAGCACTAAGAGAAGATGTTTATCTTGCTCTTGCCTTAGCATTACTCTCTGCTCCCTCAGGACCTTTCTTAGGGCTTTACCCCAGTGCCTCCAGTGCCCTGATATTATGCCTATAGGTTTTTCTCCTATTAAACTGCTCTCCTTTCATCTTCCCCCATTGTGCTGGAATGTTTCTTATCTGTGATATTTTCTACTTTTCTGCCGTTGTCTCTAACGTCTGTTTGGTCTTGTACCACAACAGCTAAGCACCTGTAGCCTATAGTCACAAACCCTGTAATTACAAAATGCTTGTTTTATTCTACACAGCAGCTGGCTGGAATTGATGTGTCTCTGTTTCTCACATGTCAGGAGCATTTTTTTCTCCTCCATTTTAGTGCTGAGAATCTGAGATTCCCATATATAACCCTGTCATGGAATTCTGTGAAGGAGTAATTTCTGGTTCTGGGTGTCCACAGACCTGAACTGCATGAAAAGTTCACAACAGAGTAAGTCAAGTTAAAAAACTGCACATCACAGATTTGAGTCTGCACTAGATTTAGAGTTTTGCTTAATCCCATCCTTACCTTTTCCTTCTGAGTTTTTATTTTAACGGTCCAGGAAAAATGACATTTTAAGAGTTTACAATTCAATAAATAGGTTGTTAATGCATAGCTTCCTGTTAAACAGTTGGGATTTTTTTGGAAATGCTGCAGTTTTAATATACTTTGACAGATCTCTTTCAAAACTTCTTACAAACCTTATACAGAGTGATGAGAAATTAATATTATCCCGTATCTTCTGGGAATGTGGTCAGTAACTGAATGAAAAAGGGAGGATTCAGGAAAGTTTCTATCAAAAAACTATTATCTGCCTTGAATATAGCTTTCTGCCACTGCTCTGCTATACATAATTTGATATTAAAAAGTGAAAACCTAGACTGACAATGAGATACACTGAAGAAAAAAATTGGCTATGGGCTGAGGACAGAGTAAATGCTTAACTTCAATTACAGATTTAATGCTTTTGATCAATATTTGGTTGAGGGTTTTTTTTTTCCTAAGATCAGTTTTGATTGAACTAAACCTGCTATATTTAGATCAATTATGAATTTCTTCTGTGCACAAAACCACAAAGTAAATGTGTATTAACACATACCTGTCCCATGAAAATTTTTTCAGAGGTACTCAGAGAGTGGCAAGATCATTATAGTTTTCTCTATTCTGTATTCTGCAATTCTCCACAAACATCAAAATTGGACACAAGAATCAGCACAAGGGTTCAAAAGGTTTTCAAGAAATTATTTTCATACTTGTCTTAAATGATGCTGACCTCAGTATATTAAAAAAGAAATCAACCTTACTGCTTCCTTAATAAAAGGAAGAACATAGGGGGCATGCACATTCTGTGTGTTTCTTCTGCTAATTAGAGGTTTGAAGGAACTGTGCATGAAAAACTCCCCACTGAGCTTATTGAATTTTATGTAACAGCCCTATTATCTGGTATTAGTGTTAAATGTCCATTTGCTCTCATGTCCCCATGCTGGTAGATGAAAACTTACTGTTTGGGCTTTTCATGTTGGCTTGGTTGCACACAGTGCTAAGTGAACACAAAAGTCCTTTTAAATGAGCTCAGAGCAAGGAAAATATGTTCCAGTAGGAAAAGTGGTTTGGACTATTTTGGAATGTGTTGTTGTGGCTTTAGCAATAGTTAAGAAAAACTACCGTGTAATATTTTAGCTGCCTATGGGACTGCAGCATGCAAAATGTATGATGTCATTCTTCCCATTGTCCCTGTTGTTTTGGGGAAGGGAGGAAGAAGATATGGAATGAAATTATGAGAACAGTCTCCAAGACACACTTTTGTTAGTGTTACAGCTTGAGAATACTCGAGAATGTCTTTGCTCTAATAAGTAAGTCTATTGCTTTATCTGCAACTTTTCACATGCTTTACATTTCCCATTTATTTACATTGCTTTTGGTGTTTATGTCTATGGAGGCTGATTGCTATAACTATTCAGATTGTCTCAAAGCAGATAGCTTTCTCGGATTGTGATTTGCTAGTTGAATTGTATGGCCAGAATATGTAGCATGACATAATGTAAATAGCTGGTGCAAGATATATATAGCAATATGGTAGAAAGCCTGAAAAAGCTGTTATTTTTCTTTCTGTACTTCCTCTGGATTAATGTAGATTTTTTTGGCATAAGCATTTTGGTGTAACAGAAGATACAAACTATATCTCATAAATTGACTGCAGAAAGCTATCTGATATCCTGCTGTGTTACTGCATTTTTGGTACATTTGTAATATAAAAAGTTAGTATTTAGATACTACCTCTGAAGGAGAACCTGAGGAAAATATCATTTGTGCTTGTTCTGAGCCCTTGTTTTGTTCTGCTAGTACTTGCAATAAATATGAGGGATTTCCTACTATGGAAAAGTATTTTGCACTGTTCAGCAGTTTTAGTCCCAAAAATGATTACAGGTTTTTTATTTCCCCCTAGGAGTTGCCAGCCTGGTTTGCTTGGATGCCACTGGCCATGAGAGCTCCTGCAGAAGCACATCTATGTTCATCCTGGCCTCATTTATTCTCTAAGCAGACACTGTGATGTACCCTAAGGTTTTCATTCATTCACAGTATGAGGCTGCATGGCATCTGTGCACTTCCTCACACCCTGAATCAGTTCAATTCTGTTTCTTTGCTTGCCTACCATCAACCTGTGTCTTGTCAAAGGCTTTTGACTGCCTTTGTGGCCCGTGAAGCCAACACTTCACACAGGCAATTCAGAGCCATCTCCTGCCAATGTTTCTCAGGCCTCTTCGGTTTTGTCTGCTGATGAAGATGTTTCCTGAGAGAAATCTTAGACCCTAAAAGGTTGGAAGGATTTTTAATTTCGCTTCTAATCACTAGGAAGATTTAACCCATTTTGAGAAGTGTCATCCACTTCTGAAATATTTTCTCTCTGTGTCCCATACAAGTCCTATATTGCCATCAATTGGTATTTGCTGCTGCATGCACTCAGCCTCTAGGTAAAGGAGTTAGGGCAATTCTTGATCATTTTCACTACTTGGCTCTATAAGTATTTTTCCAAATTGCCTCCATCTGTCTTTAAAGGCTTTTCTTTAATCTCACCAACAGTGATTACTTAGTCTCTTCACCTTTTCTTCTTTGACAGGTGAATTGCTTCACATATAGGATGTTTGCTTGTACAAACAGTTTTGTAAAATCATTCAGAGAAAGGAAGAAAATCAGTTAAACTGTTGAGATAAGGTTGGTCAAACAATGAAAAAGATCTTCTTTTTCCAGGTTATCCTGCATGCCAAGAGAAGGCTGTACTGCTACTGCCAAGCTTCTGACATCTTTCACAATTTTAATGAGAAGTTTAAAGCCCTACTGGTATCCTTTGGAGGGAAAACTGTTCATGAAATATGAGCTACCAGCTGAAAATAATAGTATATTTTGAACCTGGGAGTCAAGTTAAATTAACATCACAACTAAAAGACAAATATGATAATCTTTCCTGTTGCTCATTTTTTCCAGTTGAGGCATTTGTTGCTTAATTGTGACTGACTTTACGCATAAATAGCTTTGCAGGGTTAATACATTGCTTTCTAGCAAGTATCTGGACACTTTCCCCCTTAAGACCAGTCTGTGTTCTCCTGGTGCCCGTTTCCTCTCTCCCTCCTTCCCCCACTCCAAATGCCCTAGGTTGTGTTCAGATGGGAAGGGCATCAGTGTATCCACAGGAACAATCAAGCACAGAGCTCTCAGATTTAAAGCCCTGCAGTGGAGATGCATGGATGGTAAAGACGAAGTTTCCAGTTTGGCATTTCATCCTGGATTCAGGATACGCAGCTTTGCCTGGTTACACCTTTATTGAAACTTTTAACAGCAGTGATGGAGCAGCACTAATTTTAAAAGACAGACAGCATTTGCTGCAGGGCACGGCTGAGCCCCTCGGCCCCGGGGAAAGCCCGGGCAAGGGAGGGCAAAACGCTGCCCGGCAGCCAGGGCTGAGCCAGGGGAAGCGAGCGAGAAACAGCCCTGCGAGCCCCGAGGGGACAGCGGGAGCAGGGACGGGGCAGGAGAGGCCCGGCAGGGATGGCCCTGCGGCCTGCGAGAAATTTATTCTCCCCACCATGTGTTTCTGTCTTTATTTGGTGAACTAGAAGAAATAATTAACTTTTTTTTTCAGGTCTGTATAAGGCTAGGATCTCCTTAGATGTGAACTCTGCAGGAGTAGTTTCTTTCTTCTATGGCAATTTTATCTAAAAAATGGAATATTCAGCCTAAATATGACCACTCAGTAGTGAGCTATGCTGCCTGAACAGCTATGGACAGGAATTCCCAGTCTCACCCTGTGGCCTACATTCCTGTGCAGAAATGCATAGGAATGTCCCTGATTTTGGTTCCATGATGGCTGATCAGGCCAACCACACCATTTCTCACTGTTGTTTTAAATGATGGCTGTTTACATTTATATGATGCCGTTTGATTCTTTGCCTTTCCTGAGATGTTAGCTGAAAACTGAAAACAATGGTAACAAATAACCAGTGGAGGACAAAGGGCTTTTTGTTTAAAAATAGAGAATGTGAATGCTAATTTTGGTCCCCAGATATGTTTCTGGCAGAGTAGGTAAGCTCAAATGTTGTTTTGTTTTTCCTTAGTAAGGGTACCTACACATCTGAATTCTATCTTTCATACTGTCAAACAATATATGGAAGAAGCCTAATAAACATGGAAATGTTTCAAACTGTTTTTTGGGGGTTTTTTTAATAATAGCATTAATTTTAGAAAACACTTTGGGCAAACTCTAGACCAGGAACAGTTGTGAGAAAATCATCAATATAATTTGTGTTCTGCAAGGGGAAAAGAGACAAAAACATGAATTTGGGGGGTTTTTTTAGCATGTATTTTCACTCCCACATCACCTTTAACTAGAGGGATTAAAGAAAAGATAGCTGATTACTGCCAAAGCTCTGTGAAGAAAATAATTGGTTTCAGAGGGCTGTACTTCTATGGTTTAATTGGGCATTTTGCACTGAAGTCATTGCGACAACAGTGTTTTCCTCAGCATCCCATCTTCTGAGCATGTGAGCTGAGCTGCAGCTGCCCAGCATGCCTGTGATGTGGGAGCAGCTCCCTTTCCCCAGCTGGCTGTGGCATGGAGCTGCAGTCAGGGGAAGCAAGCCCTGGTTGGCTCCTGGGCACTGTGCCATTTTTCTCCTGCTGCAAGGCTCACAGACAAAGTTGGCTGGTGGCCTGATCAGCTGCATTCAGCCTGTGTTTTTGAGGAGCTGAAGAGAATGTATGCACTGTATTTTTTGGCATGAAATGTAACAGGTAGAGAATATTTTTTACCAAAAAATGTTCAGTTTCTTTTCCTGGTTTTGGGAATACTTGTATATATTCTTCATCATCAACCACTTCTGCATCAAGTGGTTGGGGTCCCAGTCCCCTGAATGCTGGCACAGCACAGACATTTCTGAGCAAGCAAACCCTTCCTAGCTTGAGACCTACTTAGTGTAGTTCTTGCAGGTCCAGCCAGCTCTCTCTGTCCTTCAGTGCAGGATTCATGACAAGAAGTCTGTGTAAACATCACAAGACTTCTGCCCTGCATTTTGAACTCTAACAGCCACACCTGCTCCCCACGCACACACAGACTCAATGAACTGATAGAAACCGCTTAGTTTCAAAAACATGAATTTGTGTACAATACTGAAGACAATAAATATTTCCAAATCAGTGTATTTCCAACCTCCTTTGCTTGGGGTGTAGTGGATTTGTGAAGTCCTTGGCACTGGGTTGGTGTTTTTGTGTCATGTCTCACATACCTTGACAGGCTCACTCAGGCAGTAAGGTAGGTGTAATCTCGTAGTAGAGGTTGATTTCACTCCACATGATTCATGCCCCTGATTTGAGGCCTGAGAGAAACTGCATCCCATTCATGGGCTAGAATTCATGTCCTTCATTGCTTTTTGCTCAAGGCAAAGAACATTTATAGTCAGTTCATGTCCAATCCAGCTGCTAGAGTCAAAAAATATCAGTATCTGGGTAAAGTAGAGGTAAATCTATTTCATGGTGAAAGTCAAAGAAGATTAAATGAGAAATTACTCCCTCCAATTGTTTTGGCTTTTTTTTTTCCCTACTAGTGAAAGGTACATTCTTTATTTTCCCCAAGCAAATCCCTTTGTAGATTGCTTTTCCCCATCTTTTGTTTTGTGACCTTGGCTGTGAGAGAGATGCAATTTTTTGCTTGTCTCACAATCACTAATTTTTGCTGATAGTTATGTTTATTCAAATGTAATAGTGTGTGATTACAAACAAGACAATATCTTTGCAATACCAGTTTTATATCTCAAGGAATCTGCTAACCTTCGTTCAGGTGCCTTCTTTCTGGTGTTGTGGGAACAGGGCCCTGATGCTGCAGCTCTGACAGCAGTATTATGTGGCTACATAACCTGACTTGTGGCTCTGCTGAACCCTTTCTGTAGGGAAGATTGAATGCTTTTTTGCCATTTCCTTCACTCCATTAAAACACTGATGCTTTTGCCTGTGCTTACACCTTCTTGCCTCTTTCCTCCTGCCAGTTAATTTTGGCCCTATTTGTCCCATTGTTCAGACTCAGGTATTGTCTTTTCCATATCCCTATCTCCAATGTCAGACCTTCGTCCAATTATCTTTCAGCTCCCAGCCTTGAGCCTCACATATGTAAAATGGATTGGGTCTCATCCTTTAAAAAAAAAAAAAAAAGCATATTTTTTAAAAATTAAATTTTAAAAAAGGCAGAAAAAATGCTTGTTCTCAGATCAGATTGCTTCTTTCTGTTGCTGTTCCATTACTTCCACTGCTCACCCACCACAAACATACTGCTGTTTTTATGGGTTCCACCCCCCCGACTGTTTCCATGCAGGATGCCAAGCACACAGGAAGGAAGGAGAAGAAGAAATAGTAGTAGTAATAACTATGATCCAAACAGAATAAGTCTCTGAGTAATGCTGGCACCTCTCTTTCAATATCCTCAAGTGAGTGGGGCGAATGTTTTGCAGAAGTGATCAAAGAAAAATCAAAGAGCATTATGTAAACACATCTGAGTTAACAAAATGTCTTATCACGTCTCAATTTACACCTCTAATAAGTTACACAAAAGTTACGGGAACTGTTCATATGCACAAAACTTGGATAAAGTTCACTTGCTGAATTAAGGGTCCAAGTTCTCTTCCCTATTGTATAATAGTTTTGAAGTAAAACAATACTCTTTTTAAATGATAAAATGAAAAAACCCAAGAAGGAAACTGAGCAGGAACAATGAACACTTTATATCTTCCCCCCTTCTCCCCTCTCTTAGATTTGGCAGGATCCTTCAGGAATGGAAAACATACCTTAACATTAACCAGCATACAGAAATGTCTCAAAATTTCTGCTCTTATTAATCTTTGAGCCAAAATTTGGAAGGGTCTTAAGCTCACTCCTGCATATGATGTTCATGTATGCCTTCCTGATGGTTGCCTTTTAGTGTATTAATGAGCCCCTAGCACAGACAAGATTCTGCTAGGAGAAGAAAGTTGTATACACGAGTGACTTGGATAACCACACAGTCGCAAAGATTATTTTTTTGTGTTCTTTTACCATGTTAAACTGAAGAACTTAGAAAATGTGGCTTGAGGGATATTTTTAAAGCAGGTATTCAACTTGGATCCAGTTTTGTATGCATAATTATAAAAAAATAGAAAAAAATTTTATACATACAGGGACTGATGGTTATCAGAACCAGGTTTTATTGCCAAGGGACACATTCCATTATTTGTAATACACACCAGTATAAGTCTACTATGCTTACCCTTGGATTTATGTTGCTGCAGTGCTTGTGAGCCCTTGTCATGGATGAGGAGTTTATTGTGTTAGGCTCTGCACAAATGGATGACAAATTGGTGTTCCCTATTCCCCAAGGCAATCCTCCAAAACCTATTTGGATGCCTGATAGGATTTTTTTTCTCAGCTGCACCTCAGATTTCGGAGGTTTTTTCTCAAACATCAGCAAAATGTAATGCTGTCATTTTACATTGATGACAATACAATGTTTAAGAGGGCTTCCTCATATTGTAACCCCAACCCTTGATCTTATTAATAAAAGTATTTCATAATATTTTAATCCCCACCATCAAGAGAACATTCAGGAAAATTCCAGCTCTGTGAAATGGTTAAGTGGTGTTGCTGTCATTTGTGTTAATATGGGCAATAGTGTTGAATGAAGTACGGAGTGAATTTGTTTTCCCATTGTTATTAGATTGTTAGAGCTTAAACTTGGAGGGTTCATGAAGCTCAAACTTGTTACAGGAGAGCATATGGATAGCTAAAAGGTGTTGCTGTTCATATTTAAAATTAAAATGAGGGGTGAAGAGGCACACTGACAATCTGTGGACTACTGGAGGTAAGGAAAGAGGGAAGGTGCATGCAGGGACAGAAACTGACTGCTCTGAAGTGGTGAGGTTGGTGTTTTCACAGCCTCTGTAGGTAGTCTCTACCACTCCTTCACTGTTGCCATAAACAGGTCGCAGCTCTCATGTTTTAGTTTACACTCATTGCTTTCCATCCTCCCACTGTGCATCGCTGAAATGATGCCTTAAGATGTACTTGTCTCCATCTTCTCAAGGATTTCCTTGGATATATCAGAAAACTGCCATGAGGTGTCTCCAGTGCCTTTGGTTCTCCAGACCTGAAAAAGCCCCCATCCCTCAGCCCTCCTCAGAGGACAATATTCCAGCCCCCAAACACAGAACTCACTGCAGTTTTTTGATGTCCATCCTGCATCAGGGGTCCAGAATTAGACACAGATGATTGAAAATTAAATCTCACAGGTGCTGAACAGATAGAATTCCTCCCTGTGCTGGCTGTGACCCTGTTGACAGAGCCCAGGACACTGTTGGCTGTCCCTGCTATATATGAAGCTACAGAGAAGTTAAAGTGTCATAGTACTTAAATGGTCTTACTACTTACATAAGTAGTCACAGTACTGAAGTAGCACGATGTTGTGCTACGTAAGTAACCTTGATCAGTCCTTAAAAGCTAAAAAAATCAGATCCAAAGCTTAAAAAAAAACCCAAGTAGGAGGTGGGAAAGTGAGATTGAGTAAGGTGAGATTGAATTTTGAAATGCAGAATCATATTTGCAGTTGACTGTGCCCAAGGTCCAGACAAATGCAAGCAATATATCTGAAAATGCTAAAGCAGGTGGGATTGCATTCTTGGCCCAGGTTCACTTCTTCATGAATTTTTAGGTGTTTGGTTGAAGAGGATGTCTCTGAACATCATATATCAGTATCTATCAGTTTAATACCATAGCCTAAGGTGTGTCAAACCACAGAAGAGCAATGGGCAAAGATGGTGAATTACTGTAAAACCTGCTGTAGATGTAAATGTAGCCTTTTCTCCTTGAAAACCTCATACAATATTTTTTCTCGGACTTTTGCTCTTTTTTTGTGTTTTGGTTTTTTTACTGCTTTAATCAGTCTCCAGACCCTATTAAACAGGAACAAAAAGAGGAAGAGGAAGTACACAGTATCTGCTTTCTACAAAGCAGACTGTATTTATTTGTTTAAGTGAGACAGA